AAGAGATTTCAACTCCGGCAAATGTCGGTGTGCACCTCATCGAGCATTTCTGCTGCACAAGAACCTTCCTTACTAAAGGGATGCCGACAATGTTTACCCATTGAACATACCTTGCAGCCTCCCGCGTCTGTGCTGTTGATTGTTATTCCATCTACACGAAACAAAAATCAATTATTTAATTCATGTGTTTCACTTATACATTTTTGCCAAAGCATCAGCCTTATACATTCAATAAAACAAACCACATAGGTCCTATTAGAATGCATAAAAGATATGTGTGACCGCTTATACATTTTATTTGACACATGATCTTTATTAACTTTTTGCAAGGCGTCTGCTTATTAGTTGACTTATACATTTTATGAATAATCAGCAATGGAAATTTGCCAAAAGGTATAAGGAGATTTCTATCCGTGTACCAATCGGTTGGGTAGCTTTCGAACGCTCTTTAGGTTCAAATGTCCCAGTCGTTGGTGCCAAACCGTCACACTGGTTGCTGGAAAGCAAGCCAAAGCATTATTTGTGTCCTGCTGCTCAAGCGGAAGCAATCCGTTTTCGTGCCTGCCTGTGGCCACTGTTTTCCCGTCGCTGTTCACAATTTTACATCCAGCGTTGGTAAACACAACCGTATATCCCTTGCGGACGATCTGGTTCACGGAGAGAAGATTCACCGAAAGATCCGGGATCAGTTGGACATCGTGAACCGGAATATTGTTCTCCTGACAAGCCGGGTTCAACGTGGCCGAGTCACTTGCCGTTACCTTCATCCCGTTTCCATTAGCAGCGACAACGGACCCGGTCGATGGCTGCAAATTTTCCAGAAACTTCGGGTTATTCGTCATGTGCACACTTGCACCTGAATCGATGAACCACTCTGATGCCTTCGTGGATAAAAAGGTTGACAGCACCGCGCAGGAAGCATCCTGCAATCACGAGCAATGTGTCCAAACTTGTGGCACTTTCGGCATTTTGATCCTTTGGGGGGATCACTCTTATGCTCGTTCTGCTGCTTGTATTTCCCGCTGCGTCCAGCTGCTCTCATCCGTCGACTAGCAGCCAGTGCCGCATCTTCTGGCGAAAATTTTACCTCCTGCAGCAGCTTTGTTTTTATTGCGTCCCCGGTAATCGGCCTTCCCGAGTTCTCCAGAGCCATGATCATCGGGCGATATTCGTCTGGGAGACCAGCCAGCAGCAACGTTCCTATCCATTCATCGGAGACCGGCAAATTTATCCTGTTCAGTTGATGAGCAGTGATCACATTTCGGTTGACGTAATTGTCCATTCATGAGCACCCGCATAAGCGTGAACCATAAATTTACCTTACCTAAAATGGTTAAAATTGTTTATAATCCCTGCTAAACTTCAACTGAAATGGTTATGGAACTTTACATGAACGTTTAATGATAAAGTTTTATTATAGTTTTTTGGAAGCGGTTGTTAAGAACCATTACCATTCAAAATTCTTGTTTTCTCCATACATTTTCGGAAAGAAAACTATACTAAAACCTTTTAACTTATGGTTTGAGAACATATAATGGTAATGGTTATGGTAACCAGTAAGGTCCATGGTTTTGTAACATCGATCAACTTTATGTGGAATATATCGCGAATTGGTTGCATGTAAATTACTGATTACCAATTCACGATATATTTCACGTAAAGTTGAGTGATAATACAAAACCATTAATGGACCTTACTGACTACCATAACCATAACCATTAATGTTCTCAAACCATAAGTAAAAATGTTCTAATATAGTTCTCTTTCCGAAAATGTATGGAGAAAACAAGAATTTGGAATGGTAATGGTTCTTAACAACCCATTATTTGTAAGGTCCGCTTCCAAAAAACCATAATACATAAGGTTAAAACTTTATCACACAAACGTTCATGTAAAGTTCCATAACCATTTCAGTTGAAGTTTAGCAGGGATTATAAACAATTTATAACCATTATCGGTAAGGTCATGTGATGGTTCGCGTTTATGCGGGCAAGCAGACAGCTCTGTTTTTACCAACTTGTGCACCAATCCGACTCATCGCGTTAGGCCTGTGTCGTCGAATGGACTTCCCTAATAAAAATTGTATGGTTAATTTGCTTAACGACGTGTTCTGGGTATCATCCAAACCATTTGTGGAATAGTTCAATGATTTGGGTTATCGTTCATTTATGGTTATTTTTTATTAGGGTTTCCAGTTTGGCCCAAACTTCCTTCGCCGATTTCGCTTCCTTCACGTGGACATAGTTAACGGGGTCGAGAAGCAAAATGAGTTTTGCTCTCGCACGGCGATTGCAAGCAGCGTCAACAGCTTCGTCGGTTCCGTCCAAATATGTCTGCACTGCAAACTTCCACGTGGGTCAGTTATCACGTCCGGTGAGCCGCTCGATTCCCGGAAGGCTAGAGATGTTGTGGACTACTGATCCAGCGCCACTACCCGATACTCCAGGTGAGTTTGCGAATCCGCTTCCAGGTATTGTACCATAGAAAAAAAAACTTTTTCGCACTACGAATAAACTTCCGTGAATAGGCCCATAACCTATTAAAGAGAGAACACGCGCAGACACGTCCGTATTGCAAATCGTTTATTTTAGAATTGAAGGGAAAAGTACAGTACAGGCAGAGAATAAATAGTTCTACACGGTGAGCGTGAACTACACAGAAGTTGGATAAATTCTACTCTATCACAGATATAAAGAACAGATAAAGCAAAGCTTCCCTAATAAAAAATAACCATAAACGAACGATAACCTAAATCATTGAACTATTCCACAAATGGTTTGGATGATACCCAGAACACGTCGTTAAGCAAATTAACCATACAATTTTTATTAGGGTTACACTACTATCTCAACAGTTTTGATTCGCTTTGAAAATTTGACAGATAAAATGAGGGGTTCGTGGATTTTCCTGTTTCGAGAGGTGCATCGATTAGCTTGGGACCGAAGAGAGTACCAGAGCTGATCCAAAAAGTTGAGCACGTTTCTTCGGAACCTACTAGTCTTAGAGTTACCTCTATGGTTGAACATTGTACACAACGAAAGGCTACCCACAAGCAGCGAACTGCAGCCCACATTAGCGTCCATTCACCGAAGAAGGGAGAAGGAAGACTCACAGCTACTGATCGGGATCCATCCTCGTGAGTCTCTGTGGGTCATCTATGCCAAACGCGTCACCCTCGTTCCAAACAACATGCAGCTCGCCAGCCTTATCCGTGTTGAACACCATAATAGCTCAGCATTACTCAACCATTACGAAAAAACGGTCCTTTTTAGGATCACCATAAATTATTGTTGTTTAAGAGTTAATTTTCATTGAACGTTCGCTCGCCTTACTGCCAGCCCCAAAGCTCTTTGATAATGTATCCAGCAAACAAACATTTGCCGCCAAATGCGTAACAGTATTGAAGTGGTGCATACAAATTCTCGCATTGACCGAATACCACATGACCATGTCAATTAACGAGACACTTCGTAAGGTTTTCTCCAGGACGCTAGAAAAAGCAAAAAATCTCGAATTTATATTATCGATCGCGATTGAAAAAAATTGAGCAAGATATTCCTCCAATCAATATTCGCCTTTTATTTATTTTTTACTGAATAAACCAAAAATTCCGTGCGTTTTGTGCACTAAATGCGTAATTTTGTCATCAAAAAACGATGATAAGAAAAGTGCCAACAAACAATTTGAGTTGATCAACAGCTTAATAAGCTATTTTTTAGTTGAAGAAGCTTGGTTTTGCCTGAATAAGCTCTTATTCAACATTTAATGTTTGTTGGGTGGTTTTCCTAAAACTGTCGCCGAATATTGAGTATGCCAGACGGTACTGATTTTTATGCCTTTTGTTGCAAATTTTAAGCTATTTGCTATTTGCTATTTGCCGAAATTTGAAAACTTTGCCGAATTCTCTTAATAGAAGGAGCTTAAAATTTGTATCAAAAAGTATAAACGTAGGTACCGTCCGGTAGGCTCAGATTCTGTGAATGATGTGTTTTCCCTAATACATATTATATTTCCGCACCGCTATCATCTCCAAGAACATCGAGGAAAAAATTCCACAGCATTGTTCTAAACTAGCTTCCAAGCCAGCGGTCCTTTTCAGGACCACAAATGACTGATAAGAGCTTTTATTGTTTAATATAGAGTTAACTAAAGAGTAAGACCTTAAATCCCAGACATATCGTCCAGGAATGACTTGTACTACATGGCCATCGACTTCTTCTTCTTCTTCTTCTTCTTCTTCTTCGCATTTCAAGCTTATTGCATATCGCATATTAGCTTATTGCGTGCTCTCAACTTAGTGTTCTAGATGCACTTCCACAGTTATTAATTGAGAGCTTTCGATGCCTGTACCATTTTGCATTGGTATGATTGTGTGGCAAGTTCAATCATACTTCTATGCCCAGGGAAGTCGAGAAATTTTCCAACCCGAAAAATTCCTAGACCGGACCGGGAATTGAACCCAGCCACCTCCAGCATGGTCTTGCTTTGTAGCTGCGCCTTTACCGACTGAGCTAAGGGAGGCCCATCGACAGAGCACCTCAAAAACAGAACTATCAAATTGCTTCTGAATTTCAACCTATCGAAATTTTTCACCGATAACGAATTAAGAAATCAATTAAATATTTACTCTACTTTTGATGTGACATCATAACTACCTTTCGTAATCCTATGTCAAATCTACGGTCGTGTCTTGGATACAACCTCTAATTTTTTATATAATTATTGTACAAGGGAAGAAAACGATGATTTAAAAAAAAATCTAGTTTGGCTAAAATAGATTTACGCCTAGGAATGAATTGTATTTGTTGATTGCAATAGAGCATTTTACGGTCTCTGATCAGCTGATTCTTCACTTTATGAATAAACTTTGACAGGAGACAGTAACCTGTGAAAGCAGCATCAATAACATCCAGTTCTGTTAGATAAACTGGCTCCTGTCATGTAACATAGACTATAATTTTGATATTGTGAAATAGACAAGACAAAGAAGACACCAGAGCAATGTGTTGATTAGTATATTTTATGAAGGCAGACCTAAAGTTTTTCTTACAATTCGTTTTGCTATTTTATTGAATTCCTCTCTATTCTCGCGCCACATGATTGCTGCATCGACATTTGCTCCTGATTCGTCATTGGGTTCTGATGATGAAACAGACAGTGAAGGATCAACATTTTTAATTAATTCGTTTATAAGCTTACCAGCTAGCATACTGACGACACTAAGCAGAATTTTTTCCACGCTCTGTACTGGGCTCCAACGTTCAGCAGAAAGTTCATATCCTGAAAGGAAATAGTTTCCAGTAACTTTATTTTTTTTTTAATTTTATCATTTTTCTATCAATGCTACCTAATGGATCATCCCCAGGAGCGTGCAGTATAGAGATGCAAACTCTGCCGTCTGAAAAAACTAAAATCAAAGTTAAATTTTTAATAATGCGAGCCTTGTTAGTACGATCCATCAAGACTTACTATTTGGGTGGAACATTTCACAAGTGAATCGCATTTTTGGAGGACTCAAAGGATAGTCGGGGGGAAATACTAGCTTTGCTGTAAATACACCGCCTTCAAAACAAGTTCCTTCCGGACCACTGAAATAATACGATTGCGCTCAAATATACAGTATTATAATTAATTGATAGTAGAAATTATCTTACGTTATCAAAGCTTCCCATTCGAAGAAATTTTCTTCACTTACGGGTCCTGCTATAATACCTTCTGGTGGATTCAGTGTCAACTCTGCAAGAGAAAGTATGAAAACAGTATGCAATTTTGACCTTCATTTCGAAGTCAAGATAATTTGATAAATTCTTATGCTTACGGCGGTATTCTGCCATTAGGCGTCTCAGTGCTGACCCAGCCATTATAGAATAATCGATCTGAAACTATCTTTGACGGGAATATTATGAAAGTTTTCCAAATTTTGAACCTCTGAAAACTTTAATGTTGATCTGTTCAATATCTGTCAAAACCTGAATGTTTCTATTGCTTGCATTGGTGTAGAGTTTTTTGACGTATTGAGCCAATGAGGTACAGAGAGAGGTGGCGCAGATCGTGAAATAGGGTTGATTAGTAAATCAAAAAATCAACGTAAACGCAAGTAGTGACGTCACTACTTGCGTGTACTTGCGTGTATCGTACAGTGGTTGTGTGAGTGATTGCTTCACCTCGGTAATTCAGCTCATTGGTATTGAGCCTCGCGATACGTATTGAGCTTTCTGACGTTTATACACGCACACTTCGTAATCCCATTTTCTCGAGTCGGTGTATTTATAATGAGCATAATGAGTCACGCCTACACGGTAACCAGCGTAAACACATAAATGAGTAAAAAAATACACATTTTTCATATTTATATGCAGCTGTAAAAAAATGTGTATATTTGGAGATCCTAAAATGTGTAAAAAATAACAGTACCAGTCAAAAAATGTGTATTTTTATACTCATTAATGGGTAAAAAAAAACTTCAAACTTTGCTGCATCCTGCTTTGTTTACGCATGCCATTTGCTAAATAGTGAAGAACAACAGGAAAGTGGAGGAACTACGGTCCAAACTGGACAGTGCGCAACGATGGACATGCTAGAGGGTAGGTGATTTATACTTTTTTCATAGTTTTTACTTTTAGTTTAGTTTATATACTTCATATACTGATTTTTGTTTTTCTTCCCTTGATTTGTTTTCCGTGCTGAGCACCAATGCTACCGACGCTAAGGAGGAAGCTCCCATACCTGGACCCTACCTATCGACCCGTCAACTCATGAACCGGGGACCAATGACTTCACTTCCCTTCCGAAGGAAGGCGTGATCCTCGGCGTGATCAGAGATGTTATGCCTCAGAACATCCCGGCAGCGTCAACTGGGATTAAACCCCTTTCCTGCTGGGGTGAGAGGTAATCACGTGCCGCTACTTATTTTTGTTGATGGCATTTCTTTTTTTAATAAAATATTTTTGTATTCGGCAGTCTTTATTTTACCATTGACACAAACAAGAAAATTCTGATGTTAATAAAAAACCTAGTAAAAAACCATAATCTAGAAATGATTATTTTTTACACATTTTGCTGTAAAAACCGTCCTTGAAAAATGTGTAAAAAATACACATCTTTTGACGTTTGCTGGGTTTACACATAAATGTGTAAACGCAGTTTACACATTTTATGAGTAGGCCCCTTTTTTCACGAAATGTGTGAAATTTTACACATTAATGTGTTTACGCTGGTTACCGTGTAGAGTCGGTGTATAATACACCGACTCTAGTCACGCCAAGAGTGAAGCCAAGTCTACCTATAGTCCATTTTATGAAATGACAGGAGCTGGTTTGCCTGCCAGAATTTGATGATATTGATATTGCTTCTCACAGCCGTTAGGTAACCGCCTCCTTTCAAAGTTCATTCATGAGTTGAACCAGAAACGTCTCATAAAATCAATGCCAACATGAATGTCTCCTCTACCAGCTAGCATTGCTATTTTGGATAGGTAAGATTTCATTCACGAGAAATTGACGGCTAAAGTCATTGTTTACAAAAACAATTACGCCCCTTTGAAATGTTGGCACTGAAATGCTCTATTGAGCTATCAAACCGGCTACATAATTATCGTGCAAAGTAAACAAGCATTACGATGCTATGCAAGGTCCACGAAAGGTATTGCAAATCAATATAAAATATAATCGAAGAAATGGTCATATAGGGTTACGGTATGTAATGTGGGTCTAGTCCTTTCATTCGGCCTATCACGCAAATAAATAATTAATTAAGGAATATTACACAAAAAATAAGGAAAATATTGATCACTGATGATTGATAAATGTGTACCACACACAAATCAATTTATATCACAACATTTCAATACATTTTCAGCTCTCGTAAGTAATAAAACTGGTTGAGAATATCACTCTGTTCGGAGTTTTTAGCCGCCATGACTTCTAAGGTTAAGATGGGAAGGTTGCACTGACGATCATCAAATGGCCTGATTATGGCATTTATTGAATGGAATTACCTGATAATACACACTAGACGTAAAACTCACAGTTACTGTTTGAATATTTTATGTTTATTTTAATTGTTTAACAACGTTTTCACAAGTAAATCATGGACCCAACTTTAGGGACACATTTCTTTTCTATGTTCCTAACTTTGGCCCATGAAATTCATTTGACAGCATATAGCAATAAGAGTAACGTCAACAATGTGGTTTGCATTTGGATGATAAGGAACGAACAGGAAGGGAGATTTTTTCTGCCAAATCTGTATAATGAACATCACAATGTTTTGATTTAGATATTCTGCGGTCGAAAGACGATAAGCGAAATTTTTAATTTTTAATTTTTAACTTGAGTGATTTAATGTAGTTTTCGTAAAATTTTCTCTAAGAAATGTTTTGAGGAATGAAGAGTATTAAGTTAACAGTGATAGTGATAAAAAAAAATACATAAGAAAACGTTACCAAGAGCGTTTTTTTTGAGAATCAAACAGGATAGGACGAAGTTGCATCCATAAATAGACCCAATTTGGGGACAATAGACCGATATTACATACATTTCCCTGGTGAGTTTTTGTCTTAAAAAAAGTAAGTTTTTCAACTTTTTGCGGTTCCTGATAGCAAACGACATGATAAGCATATCTAAGCATACCATTTAGCAGTAGAATATCGTTTGCAGGTAAATTAATTGATGAGTTATGATTAAAAACGTAATCTATGGCTGCATATTAGACCGAGGTTAGGGACGTATACCCTACACGTCATGTCATGCGATACGTTTTGTAATCATCAGTAATGACAATTTCTACTTTTTTTATTTAAGATAATTCGACAAAATCATTGATATAATGATTTACTACAGCCGTTAATTTTTTTCCTCGCTAAAAGTCATTTGAAGTTGATGCAGAAGTCCTCTGTTGCCAAGTTAAAAGAAAGAGAATCTTTCGAAACCGTGATGCGAGTTCATCTGTTTCTCTCTTGGCGTGACTCATTATACACCGCCCTAATAAAAAATAACCATAAACGAACGATAACCCAAATCATTGAACTATTCCACAAATGGTTTGGATGATACCCAGAACACGTCGTTAAGCAAATTAACCATACAATTTTTATTAGGGCGACAGCGCGAACAGCAGGCGCGTACACAGAAAAAAAAGTTGCTGCAACCAGGTCAACCCGCATAAACGCGAACCATCACATGCCCTTACCGATAATGGTTATAAATTGTTTATAATCCCTGCTAAACTTCAACTGAAATGGTTATGGAACTTTACATGAACGTTTGTGTGATATAGTTTTAACCTTATGTGTTATGGTTTTTTGGAAGCGGACCTTACAAATAATGGGTTGTTAAGAACCATTACCATTCCAAATTCTTGTTTTCTTTTTTGGAAAGAGAACTATATTAGAACATTTTTACTTATGGTTTGAGAACATTAATGGTTATGGTTATGGAAGTCAGTAAGGTCCATTAATGGTTTTGTATTATCACTCAACTTTACGTGAAATATATCGTGAATTGGTAATCAGTAATTTACAGGCAACCAATTCGCGATATATTCCACATAAAGTTGATCGATGTTACAAAACCATTCATGGACCTTACTGGTTACCATAACCATTACCATTAATGTTCTCAAACCATAAGTTAAAAGGTTTTAGTATAGTTTTCTTTCCGAAGATGTATGGAGAAAACAAGAATTTTGAATGGTAATGGTTCTTAACAACCCATTATTTGTAAGGTCCACTTCCAAAAAACTATAATACTTAAAGTTAAAACTTTATCATTAAACGTTCATGTAAAGTTCCATAACCATTTCAGGTGAAGTTTAGCAGGGATTATAAACAATTTATAACCATTATCGGTAAGGTCAATTTATGGTTCGCGCTTATGCGGGAATCCATCGGTTGTGTAATATAACGTTGTACCACAAACGAAGTGACAGACGACTTTCTCCGAAGAAATTAATTAAAATAATGTGGTTCTCTGTAATAGAATTTTAGTCCACCTTCCGCCCCTCACCGCCAGGTTCGCTAGTATTTTTGCTTTGAATTAATTCAAGTTGGTTTTGTGTGCAATGATCTGGCAACCCTCGTTCTTGCTCGCGTTGACGTGGTGCTGTTTTCTCACTCATCGAAGGAAATTTTGATTAGAGTGAGAAAGTAAGAAACAATCAGCGCGGGAACCGTGTGCGTTACTGTAGGTGCGGCAGAAGGAATGTTGACAACTCTTTCGTTCTCACGGTGTTCTTACGCATGATCCAACGTTACGTCACACTAGATTATGCAAAGAACGTCGTGATAATGAAAGTGCTAACTTGTTTCCTTCTGCCTCACCACAGCACTTGCGATTCTCCGTCGGTTTCAGGTGCATTCTTTGTGTCATAGAGATTGCTGACGTTTATCTTACGCACACTACGTCACACTACGTATACGCAAAATGTTTTCATCGGGATCATACTTTAGCAATCTCCACCAGTCCAAACACTAGAAGTTTTGGAAGGTTCTCCCTCAGTACCTGAAAGCAGCAGAAATCCGGAACATCTCACTTTTGAGCATCAACGTCAACCCGGTTTTGAATCGCATTCCCACTTGAGGTGGCACCGTTGGCAGTAATCCACTGCGCCGTGGGAAAGACCTGACTAGTGCTGGAAAATTCACCGTCCAAGGAACGTCACCATTAAAATTAAATCAACCTAATTTTCTTCGCTGTAACGTACTCCGGATCAGACGCTGGTGGACCGTTTTCGTGGGACGGTTTTCGACCCGAAAAGCTACAATTTGAACAGTTTTTCAAAAGAATTCTGCCAGGCGTCTTGGGACGCACGATCTCCTGTCCCACCGAGGCATCCGTTAGCGTGTCCGTGTCGGAACGGATGAACTCTTTGGTCGACTGCAATTCTACCATCGATTTTCGGCACTGCTTTTTGGTTAAATTCACACGATAGTTGAAATCGAACACGGTCGACGATCCGGCG